AGAAACATATGAAAATGAACACACAACAAAATCTATGGGACACACAGCAAAAGTAGTCCTGAGAGAGAAGTTCATTAGAGATAATGAAAAAGAAACAAGAACATTCTTTAATAAACTATCTAATCCTACAGCTAAAAAAAACTAAAAAGAAAACAACAGGAAAAGCTCAGAGTGAGCAGAAGGAAGGAAATAATAAACATCAGAGCAGAAATAAATGCGATAGAAACTAAAAAACCTATGCAAAAGATCAATGAAACCAAGAGCTGGTTCTTTAAAAAGATAAACAAGAGTGATGAACCCTTAGCAAGACTCATCAAGAAACAAGACAGAGGACCCAAATAAATAAAATCAGAAGTGAAAGAGGTAAAGTAACAACTGACATCACAGAAATACAAAGGATTGTAAGAAAATACTATGAACAACTATATGCCAACAAATTGGACAAACTGGGTGAAATGGACAAATTCCTAGAAACATATAGGAACTAATAGCTATCTTCCTCAAAGTATTCAAAAAATTCAATAAGAGGGAAGACATCCATGCTCTTTTTAACGACGGCAGCATTATCCTAACTCCAAAACCAGATAAAGATACTACACAGAAAGAATATTATAGGCCAATATCCTTGATGAACAAAGATGCTAAAATCCTCAATATTAGTAAATCAGATCCAGGAATTTATTAGAAAGATCATACACCATGACCAAGTTGGATTTATTCCAGAGATACAAGGTTAGTACAATGTTTCCAAATGAATAAATATGATGTATCGCATAAACAAAATGCAGTATACATATCACATAATCATATCAATAGACGCAGGAAAAACGTTTCACAAAATCCAGCACCCATTTTTGATAAATACTCTCAGAAAAGTGGGAATAAAGTAGTTATTGATGATTACATACATCAATGTAATAAAGGCCATATATGACAAACCTACAGCCAACATCATACTGACTGGCAAAACTAAAAGTGTTTCCTTTAAAATCAGGTACAAGACAGAGATGTCTGCTTTCATCATTCTTACTCAATATAGTACAGGAAGTCCTAGCCACAGTGATCATACAAAATAATAACAATAATAGTAATAATAATAAAAGGTACCTATATTGGAAAGGAGGAAGTAAAACTGTCATTATCTGCAGATGACATGAAATTGTATAGAGAAAACCCTGAAGACCCCACCAAAAAACTGATAGATTTAATAAATGAATTTGGCACATTAGCAGGTAGAAAACTGACATCCAGAAATCAATGGCATTTTTATACACCAATAATGAACTCTCAGAAAGAGAAACTAAAAAAAAAATTCCATTTACCATTGCCACAACAAAAATAATGTATCTAGTAATAAATTTAACCAAGGAGGTAAAAGACCTGTACGCAGAAAATTATAGGATGTTGAAGAAAGAAATTAAGGAAGACACAAATAAGTGGAAGCATATACCATGTTCATGAATTGGAAGAATTAACATCATTAAAATGTCCAACTACCCAAAACAATCTACAGATTCAATGTAATCTCTATTAAAATACCAACTGTGCCCTGGCCTATGTTGCTCAGTGCTTAAAGCATTGACCTATGCACCAAAGGGTCATGAGTTTGATTCCTGGTCAAGGGCACATACTTGGGTTGCAGGTTCCATCCTCGGCCCCAGTCAGGCATGTTTGGGGGACAATCAATCAATTTATCTCTCTCACATCTATATTTCTCCCCAATCCCTCCTTTTTCTTCCCCCTTCCCCTCTCTCCCCTCCACTCTCTCTAAAAATCAATGGTAAAAATATCCTTGGGTGAGGATTAAAAACAAAAATACCAATGGCATATATCACAGATCTAGAACAAATATTCAAAAAATTTATATGGAACCAAAAAACAAACTGAAGAGCCGCAGCAATCTTGAGAAAGAGCAAAGTTGGGGGATCACAATACCGGATATCAAGTTATAATACAGAGCCATTGTAATCAAAACAGCATGTTACTGACACAAGAACAGGCATATAGACCAATGGAACAGAACGGAGAGCCCAAAAATCAAACCATGCATATATGGTCAATTAATATCTGATGAAGGAGGCAAGAGCATGCCATGGAGTAAAGACAGTCTTTTCAACAAATGGTGCTGGGAAAATTGGACAGATACATGCAAAAAAATGAAAGTAAACCACCCACTTACACTATACACAAGAACAAACTCAAAATGGATAAAAGACTTAAATGTAAGTCACGAAGCCATAAAAATCCTAGAAGATGACACAGGCAGTAAAATCTCAGACATTTTACATAGCAGTATTTTTGCTGATACAGCTCCTAGGGCAAGAGAAAGCAAGAAATAAAAAAACCAATGGGACTACATCAAACTAAAAACCTTCTGCACAGCAAAAGAAACAACAAAATAAAAAAGGAACCCAATGTATTGGTGAACATATCTCCCAGTAATACATCTGATATGGGGTTTATTTCTAAAATATATAAAGCACTCATACAATTCAACACCAGAAAGACAATCCAATTAAAAAATGGGCAAAGGACCTGAATAGACACTTCTCCAAACAGGACATATATAGATGGCCAATGGACATAGGAAAAAATGCTCAAAGTCAGTAATCATCAGAGAGATGCAAATTAAAACCACAATGAGGTATCGCCTCACACCTGTCAGAATGGTTATCATCAATAAATCAACAAACAAAAAATGCTGGCGAGGATGTAGAGAAAAGGGAGGCCTAGTACGTGCTGGTGGGAATGCAGACTGGTGCAGCCACTGTGGAAAACAGTATGGAGTTTCCTCAAAATACAATATTAAAAATGGAACTGCTATTTGACCCAGTGATCCCACTTATGGGAATGCATCCTAAGAATCTAGAAACACCAATCAGAAAGAAAATCTGTACCCGTAAGTTCACAGTAGTATTATTTACAATAGTTAAGATCGGGAAACAGCCCAAGTGCCCATCAGTAGATGAGTAGATAAAAAAGCTGTGGGACATTTACACGATGGAATGTTATGTGGTTGTGATAAAGAATCTCTTACCCATTGTTACAGCATGGAGGGACCTGGAGATTATTATGCTAAGTGAAATAAGCTAGTCAGAGAAAGACAAATATCACATGATTTCACTTCTATGTGGAATCTAATGAATCAAATAAACTTATAAATAAAATAGGACCAGAGAAATGGAAGCATGCAACAGACTGACAGATCTTAGAGGGGAGGGAGTAAGGGTATGGGATGAGATTAACCATAGAACATATGTGAATATATGCATAGCCCATGGCCATGGATAATAGTGTGGTGAAGGCCTGGGATGGGGAGGTGGCTGGGTGCAGCGGGGCAAAAGATGGGGGAAATGGAGTACATCTCTAATGTTGTCAACAACAAAAAAAGAGTATGCAAATTTAAAAATGTGATAGTTTTGGGCAGACACCTCAAAAGGTTCTATTAATTATGCTACTACCAAAAGCATGTAAACATATCTATTTCCCTATACTCTGGTTAACTCTAGGCATTATTAAGCTTTTAAATCCCCACCAATCCAGTATTTTTCAGACATCTTGTTTTCTTTTGTATATTATCTGTGCGTATGCTTTGTCAATTTTTCTGTAAATGGTTTTTCTTATTAATTTTTATAAGGTCTCCATATATTAAAGTATTAACCTTTTATCATATATATGAAAAAAATTTTCTGCAATCTCACTTGTCTTTTTTGTCGTTGTTAATCCTCACCTGAGGATATTTTTCCATTGATTTTTAGAGAGTGGAAGGAAGGGGTGGAGGGCAGGGAGGGAGAGGGGAAGAAGGGGAGAGGGAGAGGGAGAGGGAGAGGGAGAGGGAAGGAGGGAGGGAGAGAGGGAGGGAGAGAGGGAGGGAGAGAGAGAGAGAGAAAGAGAGAGAGATAGAGAGATAGAGAGNTCACTTGTCTTTTTTGTCGTTGTTAATCCTCACCTGAGGATATTTTTCCATTGATTTTTAGAGAGTGGAAGGAAGGGGTGGAGGGCAGGGAGGGAGAGGGGAAGAAGGGGAGAGGGAGAGGGAGAGGGAGAGGGAAGGAGGGAGGGAGAGAGGGAGGGAGAGAGGGAGGGAGAGAGAGAGAGAGAAAGAGAGAGAGAGAGATAGAGAGATAGAGAGAGAGAGAGAGAGATAGAGAGAGAAAACACTGATGTGAGAGAGACAAATCTATTGGTTTCCTCCCGCACACGCCCAAACCAGGGTTGGGGATCGAACCTGCAACACCTTCAGTGGGCAGGCTGCCACTCTAACTACTGAGCTATACCGGCCAGGGCTTATTTGTCTGTTTCATGTATGACATCTTTTTCTGTTCATAAAGTTTTCAATTCTACAATCATATTATTTTTTTGCTTGCATTTTCCATCATTAAAGTCTTTCTCTACTTTTTGGCATTTTTTTAAAACTTAAATATTAATCATATACTAAATTTGCATTTATACTGAGGTGTTTTGAAATACTAAACTTTCTTTTTATTTCTGTAGGTTCATATTATGTTTTCATATGTAACAAGGGCAGTTTCCTTTCATTTTATCCTTACAAGTGAACTTAAGAATTAATATAGGCCTAAAATAATTTAATTCTGTTTTAGATTTCATAAGACATCTAAATTAGTTTTACTATTTTATATACCTAGAAAGCATAGGCTATGTTGATGGGAGAAAGAGAAAGATAAAAACCAAAACCAGAGTGGATGGCATCTATTTAAAGTACCTGATTTGGGACAGGCCATGTAATAAACTCTTTAGCTCATTTAATCTTCAAAACACTCCAGTGAGATACTTACCTCTTCTTATTCTCATTTTGTAAATGAAAACATTTCGGCAATAAAAAGATTAAGGTATTTTCCAAAGACACATAAGGATTAAGTGATGAAGATGGAATTTGAAACCTGGACTGCTAAGTCCAAATCCTATATTCATAACTAAGTTGGAAATATACTGATTCAATTTTATTTTTATTGAAAATTTAAAATAAAATTTTAGCTTACCAAAATCCGAATTATTTCTTCAGGCTTTTTATCCTCAACTGGTATCCCATTCACTTCCCTAAGTTCATCACCAACATGAATAAGACCTGAGTAATAGCAAATTCAGCAAATTAGCAGTGTTACCTACAAAAGAAACTGTAATTTGCAGTTGTATCCATACTAAAGCATTGTTTGGTTCCCTTAATACATCTGAGGATTGGAAAGAAGACCTTCATGTTTCTCCATTTTCAGATCCCATATATAGCAATGAGTCAAAGACTACATCATAATGTTGGCAGAGAAAGACAGCATCGTGCTCAGTGTCCAGAAATGCACATTATTTTTATCATATAAAACAATTCTTTTTTTTGAAAAGGTGCATGCTTTTAGTAGTACCTTTCAAACCAGAAACACTGAAACAAGTCTTAATGTAACCTTGGAAGCCCGTTAACTAAGAGAGTAGAGAGAGATTTATTTCTCACTTATTTATACAGGTTTCCATATATCAAGACAGAGAAGAATATTTTATTTCTTGTTTTGCTGTATTATATCAAAAGATTGTTATCCACTTAGTTATATATTAAAAATATTACATAAAAAATGCAACATGAATTGTCCCTATTCGCTTAGCATTTAAACTCTTACCACTTCTATCTGCGGCCCCTCCTCGCATGATTCTAGCCACAACAATGGCTCCAGTCTGCTCATCTTTCTTAATGGTGGCTCCCTTTTAAGAAAAATACAAGCATTTGTGAGTAAACGTGTGTGCTGGGTGATACAATGGGGGAGCCAGAAATAAAATGATTTACCTGGAAAAAGTAAAAACAACAACTACAAAAAATTAAAGAAATGAGGCAGGAGAAATAGACATCATGCCATGTGCCTTACAAATGCTCATTACTAGATCTAGAATTTTGTACCACACATATATCATCTAAGGTTTCCAGAAAAATTTAAGGATTTTTGAACTCTTTAACTTCTTCAACACTATGGAAAGTACAACTATCTTCTTTCCATTCTAATACCTTGTATTTAAATACTATTTGTTTTTACTCTTTTTTTCCACTGTTTTTTTTCTTTAATCCTCACCCAAGGATATTTTTTCCACTGGTTTTCAGAGAGAGTGGAAGGGAGAGTGAGAATGAGAACGAGAATGAGAGAGAGGAGAGAGAGAGAAAACACATCCACGTGAGAGGGACACATCGACTGGTTGCCTCCTGCACGATCCTGGGGCCCAGGATCTAACCTGCAACCGAGGTACAAGCCCTTGACCAGGAATAGAACCCATGGCCTTAGGTGTGTGGGCCAACACTCTAACCGCTGAGCCACACCAGCCACGGCCAGGAGTTTGCATTTTAAATAAGCACCTCAGGTAATTCTTATAATACCAGAGTTTGAGAACCACTATTCTCAGAGAACTAAGATGACAACCCATGCAAGAAACACTGAAAATTTAGGATGAAGTACACCCACCAACTAATAGAATTTCATTTTCTTAAGCTGTCTAAAAATTAATCTTCTGGATACAACAAATATAAACTGCTCCAAATTCACAAGGGAGGGAGGACAGCTCTGCTCCTCACATCCTGACCACTGCTTTTCTCTCCTTCTCTCAATTCTTTTATCCATGCCTCCCCTAGAATTAGCACCCTTTTTCCTTTCCATTGCCAAATGCCTTTGTGATCTTTGTTCCCTGCCTCTTCTCCTAGGGAACCATTCTGTGCTTAAATATTTGTCATCTAGCTCCTATTTTATCATTCTATGGAACATTTATCTAATACATAATGCACAAGAACTTATAAAGTATTTCAAAAACATTCTATCTCAGGTGATATTTAAAACACTCTCAAAGAGGTATGTTTTCTGATAAGGAATCTAAGACTGAGATGTTAAGTAACTCACTGCTGTAAGGATGTATAACAAATAAGTGACACCCTATAACACTCACTTAGGGCACCTAATGCAAGCTTGGTATTCACTTCACCACATTATAATTGGGTTGAATAAAGAAAATTACATTTTAACACAGATAATCTAACCCTTGGTTGCTAAACTGTATGGCCTTTTCTCTTGAATCATTTGCCAAAATCTCCTGACCATATGCTTGAAAGAATTTTATTTCACCTTGGCTTCTCTCTCCTTGCCTACTTCTGGGGAAGCAGAGAGGAAAAAATGCTATTAAGTACATTACAAACTTGCCAATTTATACCAAAATATACTACTAAGAAACCGAATAATTTTGAGAGGTGCTTATAATATCCCTCAAATACACAAACATTACAAACCTGGAAAACATTCTCATGCTAAAGAGAAATATTCACTTTTTAAAACAACTTATCAGTTCAACCTATTTTTAACAAAATTTCCCTGGTTCCTTTCCTAAATATCTAACCCTTTCCTAGCACCTGCATAGCCCCATAGGCTCAGTATAACCATAAGGAAATTAGTCATTTATATCCCCATGCATTTCCTTCTATTCTTGCTAACTCATGTATAGAACTTCTAGTCACCTAAATAAAAACCTCCTATACTATTGACGTCTTCTCTCCTCTTGCCCTCTACATCCAAGGTCCTATCAAATCTAACATGTTACTCTTGCCCTATCTTAGTTCAGATTCTCACTTTAAATACCGTGTATTATAGAATCTGTAACAAAAGACACAAACATTACAAACCTGGAAAACATTCTCATGCTAAAGAGAAATATTCACTTTTTAAAACAACTTATCAGTTCAACCTATTTTTAACAAAATTTCCCTGGTTCCTTTCCTAAATATCTAACCCTTTCCTAGCACCTGCATAGCCCCATAGGCTCAGTATAACCATAAGGAAATTAGTCATTTATATCCCCATGCATTTCCTTCTATTCTTGCTAACTCATGTATAGAACTTCTAGTCACCTAAATAAAAACCTCCTATACTATTGACGTCTTCTCTCCTCTTGCCCTCTACATCCAAGGTCCTATCAAATCTAACATGTTACTCTTGCCCTATCTTAGTTCAGATTCTCACTTTAAATACCGTGTATTATAGAATCTGTAACAAAAGAGGGTATTAGATGAAGAATCACCACCTCAAAGTTAGGTCTAATTATTTCAGTCCTTACATGCTTATTAGCTATTAAATAAATGTTCAGTAACAAACTATAATAACAGCTTTAGATTCTTTTACATGCTTCATTCCACTTTTTTTTAACTTAAACTAACTCACAGTAGGTACTGTTAAATCTTTTGTGAAATCTTGATGCAGTATATGCAGAATTTCTTTGATAAACATTTTGAAGATCTTATTTTATCAGAAGGCATAGGACTTAAATATTACTGATGACTATTTAAATGTTAGTTCACCAAAAACTATTGCCCTTGGGGAAACTATGACTAATCAAAGAAATTATTAATTATTGAACTCCTCAAGATGGGCCTTCAATAATCTCCCTAAAAGGTTTAATTAACCAAAATTAAAAGGTATTTCATTTGACAGATGCACAGAATCCACCAAGAATTAGTCACTTTATGGTGCTAGGCCCTGAGATAGCTCTTTCTAGATTCAACATGAGCATCAACTATTCTTAATAGGTATATCACCTCCATAATAAAAATCATGAGCTTTTTAGGTTGCCAGCACAGTTATAACCACAGATGAAAAGCAGGACGGTATAACCTAAATTAAACAATCTTAACTAGGAATACAGGGTGTACTAGGATATCCATGGATGAGGTTCAGGGTCTCAATAAATCCCTTGATATAATATGCAAACTTATCTGTATATTTTTCTGAGTAGAGGTATCCAATGCATTTATCAGTACACCAAAGTTGCCCTTAAATAAAACAAGAAGAGAAAAAAAGAACCAAAAGGGAAAAGTAGAAAGACACAATATAGTGCAGAAGAAAAAACTAGTGCCCTGGCTGGGTGGCTCAGTGGATTGAAGCATCGTCCTGTGCGCCAAAATGATGCGGGTTTGATTCCCGAGCAGGGCACAAACCTAGGTGCAGGTTAGATCCCCGGCTGGGGAGCCTATGGGAGTAAACAGATCACTGTTTCTCTTACATCAATGTTTCTCTCTCTCTCTCTTTCCCTTCCTCACTCTCTCTAAAAAATCAATAAAAACATAGCCTTGGGTGAGGATTAAAAAAAAAAAGAAAAAGAAAAAGAAAACTAATATTTAAAACTAAAGAGACAAGTTTGGATCTTGGTTTACTACTCATTAGCTGTCATACTTTGAGTAAGTTGCTTCACTTCTCTGAATGCTAGTTTCCTGGTTTGTAAAAAGAAAAACTATGATCCTCATACCAACTATGAGGATTAAATATAATGTAGGTAAAGTACATAACATAGTACTCAGCAACTATTATATTATAAACTGCTATTTGCTTTAAGAACACAGAAATGTCTTAACTAGAGTAAACAACAATTAAAATCAAGTGCTAATGGAATTTATTTATTTTTCTTTTGATTGTAGTTTTATAAAAATATGGATACACTTCATATTTATTTCCTAGTACTGCTATAACAAATGACCACAAATTTAGTGGCTTAAAACAACACAAATTTATTATCTTACAATTCTTGAGGTAGGAAGGCCAAAATGGATTATGGGGCTAAATTATCAAGGTGTCAGCAGGGCTGCATTCCTTTGGCAGATCTAGGAGAAAATCTGGTCCTTGCCTTTTCCATTTTCTAGAAACTTCTGGCATTCTGTGGCTCAAAACCACATCAGTTCAACCTCTGCTTCCATTATCACATCTCCTTCTGTGACTCTGGCCCTCCTGCCTCCTTTCACTTTAATAAGAACCCTTGTTATTAGACTGGGCCCACCAGATAATCCAGAATAAGCTCCCCATTCAAAACTGTTTACTAATCATGGAAAGTACCTTTTGCCATGTAAGGTAACATATTCACAGGTTCTGAAAATTATGACATGACATCACTGGGGACTGGGGTTGGGGGTATTATTTTGACTACTATAGGCCCCTTGACATAATTCATCATTATATAAATTCTGGTGCTACAATAAATGGTTATATTTACATTTTGAAACATCAAACACTTGAATAACTTTTCCTCATTACTTTAAAATAAATTAGCTTTCTAGAAGAGCCATGAGCAATTAATTTTAGTTGTACCATTTAATCTCAAATCATCTGTGACCAGTGCATATGCTTACTTTTATAAATGTCAATTCACATTTTAAAATTATTACTATTTATAACCAATAAAATGCCTGTCATTTCATTTGCCTTCATTTTCCTTTTTCTAAATCATATTCTTTAGACATAAATGTTTCATTTATGTGGAAGTTTTAGGACACAGAGGAAGTTTAAAGACAGAAATATATAGAATGTCCCCATCAGATTTGGGTTTATCATGGTATCTACTCATCTCTGGGCACACATGTAGACCGAAACTTACCAGTGGTTCTCTATTTTTGACCAGACGTATGATCTTTACTGAGTCTTCCTCATCGTCAATATCATCAGGCATAGGAGGCAATACTGGATCATACTTCTTCTGAGCCACAGTGTCATGCACAGAGAGCAAAGCCTATTAAAGTCAAAGATTGATAAAAAAAAAAAAAGGAATCAAATATAAAACCCCAAACCCATAAAACTATAAAGAAAATCAGACTGATACTATAATTTTGACATACAATGGAAATAAGGCAACTAATTGAAAAGGAGCCTCTAACAAACAGGAAGCATGAAAAACAGCAGAAGGCAGCTCCATTTAGCTACCACCCTATCTCCAATGACATTAATGTACGACAAGAATCAGCATAAAATATCTGCTAATCTGTATATTCTCTGGTTCATCCTTATAAGGATGACAGTTGAGGGCAAGGGTGGGGGGGCTACTTGAAAGGAGGGGGAAAATGAGTCTATAGAAATACTGTCAATGAAACAATAGGAGTCTGACAACTATATACTTTTTCTTTCTACCATTAGCAGAAAACACAAAAAGAACTAATCAGTACAATTAATTAGCTTTCATTCTTTTCTCACTTTTTAACTTTTAGTGTAACAGATGAGTAGGATGTGTACAAAAGAATAAAAAGTATTTCTATTCATGATCTTTGGTGGTAAGACTCCACAAAACATTGTCATATTGTCCTTATAGACCAAAGATGAGAAAAACACTGGAACCCTGACATGTCACTACTCACCACTTCAGGTGACTGGGCCTAGACTTTTAACTTTGTTCCCTAATCAGCAAATGCCAGGATCCATAAATTTCTCCAGCAAGAAGCCTAGAAATCAACCTTGAAATCTCTTCTCTCATCTACACTTCCAATGTCCAACCCATATCCTGTTAAATCTACTTCCAAATGTAAGCTAACATTTGTTATCTTCTCTAACCAAAGGTTGGCAAACTATGCCTCCTGCTTCTATAAATAAAGCTTGCTGGAACACAGCCATGCTTATTCATTTATGTATTGTCGATGCCACTGTCATGCTCCAATGGCAAAACTGAATAGAAACAACAGGTACTTTTTACATGAAAACTTGGCAGCACCCCTGGGCTAGATCATTGATTTCATCATTTTTTACCTGGAGCATTGCAATAGCCTCTAAACAGTCTAACTGCATTCACGTCTGGCTCATTTTCAAATTCCTGATTCACAGAGTAATTATTTTAAAACTTAGATCAAATCACATAACAAGCCCGCTAACTCTTCTAAACCTACCCACTGACCTTGGGGTGAAGATCAAACTGCTGAGCATGTCCTAGTCTTGCGTTCCTCTCCAACTTTACCTTATATCTCTGTCCCCACATAGCTTGAATAACTCTTTCTCAGAGATGGACTAAAATATTTGATATAAAAAAGCAGATCTCCCTCAGTAACTTGACTTGCAGCACCTTTTTCTCTGCCTTCCTACATGTTCATAATTCATAACCACATATGCATTTTTATATGCATATGTTTAATATTTGCTAGCTACCGAAACAGAACCTCTAAGATGGCAAGGAAATGGTGTCTATTTTTAATTAAGCTCTTTTATTGACTATAACATGTATACAGAAAAGTACGTAATTTTCAAAAATAAATATTCCCATATAAATATCACCCGAACAGGAAATACAACATTAACTGAGCCCCAGAAACCCACACTTATGCTCCTTCCTAATTACCTTGACCTCTATTCCCTCTGAAGGTGGTAGTTTTGCCCCTGTATAAATACTGCATAAATAAAATTATAAGAGCATATTCATTTTCCCCCTGATATTAAGCTGAGATTTATCTATGCTCCTGCTGGTAGCAGCAGTCATTCTTTTTTCCATTGCTATGAAGCATTACAACATACGAATACTTCCACAGCTTATTTATCCATTATGCCCATTATTGAGAGGCATTTAGGTTGTTTTCAGTTCCTGGCTATCATAAATAACGCTGCTGTGAATATTTCATGTATTTTGATACATAAAAACTTATTTGTATGTATAAGTTGGTTAAGTATAGAATTATATTCAACATTAACAGATAAAAGTTTTTCCAATTATAACCCCATCAACACCTTATGTTGCATCATGTGATCCCCAACATTTTATGTTATTAGTTTGAATCTGGCCATTCTGAGTGTACAGTGGTATTTTCTTGTGGTTTAAATATCATTTATATTATAGCTACTGATACTGAAAACATTCTCCTATGTTTACTGGTATGTGAATATCTTCTTTTATGAGATGCCAGTTCAAGATTCTTGCACATTTTCCTGTACCATCTTTTTCTTACTTATTTGTAAGTATTCTTTACAACATACTGGATGCAAACCTTAGTTGGTTACACGTGCTACAGATGTATTTTCTCATTTGGTAGCTTGCACTTTCACATTCTTATTAGTGTTTTTTTGAGCAACAAAGGATCCTAATTTTAATGAGCCTAATTAATATTTTATCCCTTATGGCTGGAGCTTTTTGTATCCAATCAGTTTCTAAGGGAAAGAATGAACAGCATCAAGATGATGAAATATCCAAAGAGATGTAGCAAAAGCAGTGCTCAGAGAGAAACTTATGGCTCTAAATATCTACATTTAAAAAGAACAAGATCTCAAATCAATAAACAAACCTTACCCCGTAAGTCACTGAAAAGAGCAAACAAAACCTTTTGTTGTTTCTTTTTCGCTTTAGTTTTTCCTTAAGATTTGAACAATTAGACTAGATTTTGTAGATATTATTTTTATTCTTTTTTACTGAATTTACTGGGGTGACATTAGTTAATAGAATTATATAGGTTTCAGGTATACAATTAATACATCACTTGTATATTGTATCTATCATGTGTTTATCACCCCAAGTCAAGTCTCCTTCTATCACCACTTACCCCTCTATGACCTCTCCTACCTCCTCCACCCTCCTTTCCCTCTGGTAATCACCATACTGTCAAACTGTTGTCTGCGAATATGAAGTTTTGTGTGTGTTTTCTTCCTTAATCCCTTCACATTTGAGTAATAACACATGCTTATTTTTTGTATATGGCAACTGACCAATCAATTCACAGATTGAAAGGATGGTATAATATTTAAATCTCTGATAGTTCTCAGATGAGACTATTGTTACAGAATGACAAGTCATTTTATAACTATTTAAGACTTGAAGGTAACACATTATACAGGAAAAGTGTTCGCATAGACAACGTGGGGCAAAAGTAGGTTTACAGTTGTTCATATGGAAAATAATACAATAAATAATACAAGAATAAACTCATTTCATGTACTCACAACTGTAAACCTACTCTGGCCCCACCCTGTATTCTACTGGTCATCAACTAGCAAGGCTAAAAAAAAACATGAACTGAACAAGGCATGAAGGGCACAGGAAGAAAGAACCTCTGGTGCGACTGGAGGTACTGTACATTGAGAGAGACTGCCTAGATTATTGCTAAGGACAAGCTGGCAACAACTATGAAAATTTTAAATGTACAAAATTTTAATATAAAAATTTATTCACCAAACAAAATTCTGTAATATGCAGAAGATGTGCTTGCTTAAGATATAGTGTATAGACATAGCAGAAATGCAGGAACAATAGAAATACCCACCTCTAATGGATCTTAAATAGGTAATTACATTGATCCAAAGAGGAGTCCAAAATATCCCAATGTCAGAAGTCCACAAAACACACAAAAAACACCAGTAAGTAGTGCATTCTATTATCTCACTTATAACTGGAAAAAATATATGTTATATTTATGTATGCAAAAAGGAATGAAAGGTAATGTAACTAAGAGTGACTATCAGTAAAGGCATGTGGACAAGCACACAGTTCATAGAAGAAATAAAAAGTCATTAAGCATAGAAAATGATGCTCATCCTCAATAATAAAGCAATGAGGATAGGGACTTCTACTACTCTATAGTCTGAATTAAAAGTACAATTAAGTATTATCAAAAAATTTTTCTGTATATTTTTAAAAATATCAAAGTACTTCCTAAAAGGTAAAATTACAGTAATAAACTATCAACTTCCTAAGACAAATATCATAAATTGTTTATTTAAATATTCTTTCTAACCTCACTGAGGGATTTTTTTTTAACTTTCCGTGTGTGTATGTGTGTGTGTGTATGTGTATGTGTATGTGTGTGTCTGCACCTAAGGTTGTGAATGCTGCTTCTCTATCCCATAATTATGGTTCAATTTTTGGCATTTACATCTTTAATCCATTTGGAATTCATTCTAGTAAAGGCAGTGTCTAACTTTTTCCCAGTGATGAACCACTTGCCCCAATACCATGTATTGAAGCTGCATCCAATTCCACCTATCTTCCACTTCCTTTCACCCATAGCTCACATCTGTCATTAAGGCCAAAATTAAGTTTCACCTGAATTATTTCTGCAAGCTCCCAACTGGCTTTCCTCCAGTCAGTATTCCATTCCTCTCACCTTAGCACCACTGCTCCACCCCAAGTAACCATCTATATGTTCCATACAGAGCAATTATGTCACTTGAATATTTAAATGATTTCCATGGGAGATCCATTATGGCTGAAGAGTAGGGGTTGGAACCTCCCACCACTTGCTACCAACACCTGGAGGATTTGCAGCTGAACTGCAGGGTGATATGCATGAAAAACTAGTTGAAGTGAAGCTGATCTGAAATATTGTGAACAGGGAACTCAGAGAAATGACAGGAGGAAACCCAGAGAGGGTGAGCCAACCTGTGCAGGTGCACAGCTAGGAAGCTGGAGAAGAGCCCCCTACCCCCTGGGAGCATGGGGTCTAAGCCCCACACAGGGATCCCCAATTCAAAAACATAGAGAAGGGAAAGGAAAACCATGTAGTGCCAGGCAGCGGGAAGCAGTAGAGATTCAGTCCACCTTGGAAGCTCAAACCACAATATCCCACCAGACTGTTTACAGGCTCTGCCCTGCCAAGTGTCAGGCTGGCAAGGCCTTTGTTGCAGCACCAGGAGCTAGCTCTCTCATCTGGGATTGGGGGAGGGACCAAGCAGCAGAGCTCACACTGCAGAGCTCAACTATGAAGGGAGCTGACCTGGTGCACCCAGCAGTGACTCTGAGAGGGCCTCCATCCCCTCTCAGAGAGCCCCATG